AATAATATACAGCAAGTTCTCAGATTCTGTTTTAAAGTACAATCTGTGTTACTTCCTGTTCTTGCTCTCCAAATTACCTTTGGTCACACAGACTATTCAACAGTTTTTATCCTCGTGGTTTACAAGAAATACATCAGTGTAGGCCAGTGAACAAAGAAAAGTGTGGTATATATGACGTGCACAAAGCAATTATATTTTGTACATGCAGTTGTCGTTTACCCAGTGCCAGTGAAAGCTGTAGGCTACTCAGTGGATGCCACCGCTCTAAAGGAAAAGTATACTGAGGGAAGGGATTCTGTAGGTACATGAAACATTTTATACTTTGTCAGTATATAAAATAGCTTTTTTTTCTAAAATATCACTGTGCAAAATCCGTCGCAAAAAGATGAAGCCTGCCTTTTCCTTTTTCTTTATTATTGAAAAATCTCAATACCTAAATGGCATCTTAAATTACAGCTGTGCAAACCCACTGACAAGGTACACTTTGCATGTTTCTAATGCGAAGCTTAATTTGAAGATGAGGTTGCAGTGCAGCACTGCAACTGAAAATTGCTTAACAATACCATTGATGTATGAACCATAAAAAACCTTGCTAAGCTGTCCCTGCAGAACTCAGAGTAATAAAAAGGTGTTCTTTTGCACTGAGGTGAACAGACATGGTTGACTGCATCTAGGGAGCTGTACTGTTAAATGAGAAAGTGCCATTTCTTTCCTGTCAGTACAGAACAATTTAAGACACTCACAGATTTAGTTAGCACAGAGTACAGGATTTAATGAAATATACACATAACAGCAAACAAACCACAACTATATTCAAAGCTTTCAGTCAGATTGTGTGCAGAATTCATCTTTCATCTGTGACAGATGTGGGGAAAAAACTAGAAACTTTTTCAGTTTCACTCCTAATTTTCAGAGAAACAATAAAATAGCTGAATGGAAAAGGACTAAACATACTCTCAAAGTATCTAGAGATGTTTTCTATCCACATCTAACAGGCAAAGTTACAGGTTTTTTCTCCAATTTCATTTTGGCTTTAATTTCAACCAACAGATCAGGTTTACAAAACCCTAAACTACCAGCTGAGTGTCATGATATCTCTATTGTGAATTGATGCTGCTTCTCCAGATGATTCTTCCTTCAAGAGGTATGGAGACAGGCAGTTGCAGCGAATTGACAGGGAAACCAATTCTCACTTGAGAGATCCTCTCATAGGTTGATTAAATCACACAAAATTGGTTCACAATTTGTGCAGCTACACCTGTGTCTTTTCATACCAATAGTTCCAGAGAGCAGTGAAAGTTACTGTCTAAGCTACATGCAACCTAATCTTTCAACATATGTTTGCTAACGCAACTGTCATTCCATCAGAAACTACAGTAACTCAGCATTCATTTCAGAAGATGCTGTAATACTGTTAGTTTCACCAAGGATTTCTACTTTAAAAACCCCCACAAAAATATTCTTGATTTCCACAGTTAACCTATCACTAAATTCTGGGTTTCTGAAGTAACAAATCTCACTATGGAGATTTTTAGTTTCCTTTATATGAATGTTTAAGAATCATCAATTTCTGTAGTTGTTTTCAATATGAGCAGTTATAACAAAAGATCTGGCAAAAATCTCAAAACTACTTCCAAAACAGCCTTATTGATCCACGTCGCTTCAGTCTAGCTCTTACAATATTAAAGGTACTAACAGCTCAGTGAAAGATGTTATTCCATTTTGAAAGTTGCGATATTAATACATGATAGAATTAAGACAAAGTTCGCTATGCCTTGGTTTCCTGATAGAAACATACAAGAATTTTCTTTCAGAAATGTCAGATTAAAATGGCATACACTATTCTCAAATGTTTTACACATTTTATAGCTCAAGTCAAAACATGGATAGTCCTCTTGTTCAGCACAAAAGAAACTACAACTTTTCAATGGCAATTTTACTGCAAACAACATATGGAATAGTGACTTCAGACTGATTGTCTACTCAACTTTCACCCCATCTCAAATTAGTAAGCATCTTTATGTTACCTACTTAAAATTCACTTGGAGTTGCTTTTATCTGACACCATCTTCTCAGAAAATATTCTACACGCACACATTATGGTCACCTTGCAGCCCTGAGCTGCTCCATCTCCTCTTATTTAGACTGATGTGCAAGTTTAGCACTCTGCATCAGCATCTTTCCTGCCATTCTCACTATTTGCCTAGATATTGCATACACTGAAATTACTTTCTAGGTCTTGTATTCTGGTTACATGTTTCACAAATTCTTTTCTAAAACTTTTCTGTAGTACAGTATCTTCATATATCAACTGATAGTCTTCCTGAGATTCCCACTACCTCCATTCAAGTTTTGCACGTCACTGCTTTCTGGGACTGCCAAATAAGAACAGACCCTTCGGATGCCAATCAAGGATGCTGCTGCAGAGAATAATTTCAAAATCTGATGATGTTATTCTCAGTATTTGTTTTTACTTTCTCTGCTACCTCCTGGATGAATCCGTTTTTAAGCTATTCCCCAACCCAAGGCTGGATATTTGCATCTTGGAATTTCTCATATTCAGCTGAAACAGTAATGGTCACGAGACTAGCCTCTAATGTTCGTACACACCATTTGTTGCATATTTGCGTGTTTCTCCAGTCTTCTCCAATATCCCTCAGATTTCCCTGATGATCTCTTCTGCCTCCTGAGCAGACTTCTAAATTTATTTATTTTAAAAATCCTTTCTTAAAACTGTCATTTACCTCACCTACTACCTAGGTTAGGGTTCCACCACATAAAAAAATGGTATTGAAGATGAAATGTCATGTTTAAGATTGTGAGGAGGTTCTAGTACTATGGAAAGATATATAGAATCATAGAATAGTTAGGGTTGGAAAGGACCTTAAGATTATCTAGTTCCAAGCCCCCTGTTATGGCCAGGGACACCTCACACTAGACCATATCTCCCAAGGCTTTGTTCAACCTGGCCTTGAACACCACCAGGGATGTAGTGTTCACAGCTTCCTTGGGCAACCCATTCCAGTGCCTCACCACCCTTATAGGAAAGAACTTCCTCCTTATATCCAATCTAAACTTCCCCTGTTTAAGCTTTAACCCATTACCCCTTGTCCTATCACTACAGTCCCTAATGAAGAGTCCATCCCCAGCATCCTTATAGGCTCCCTTCAGATACTGGAAGGCTGCTATGAGGTCTCCACACAGCCTTCTCTTCTCCAGGCTGAACAGCCCCAACTTTCTCAGCCTGTCTTCATATGAGAGGTGCTCCATCCCCCCCATCATCCTTGTGGCCCTCCTTTGGACTTGTTCCTACAGTTCCATGTCCTTCTTATGCTGAGGACACCAGAACTGCACAACAATACTCCAGGTGAGGTCTCAGGAGAGCAGAGTAGAAGGGCAGGATCACCTCTTTTGACCGGCTGGTCATGCTCCTTTTGATGCAGCCCAGGATACGGTTGGCTTTCTGGGCTGCGAGCGCACACTGAAGGCAGCTCATGTTACGTTTCTCATCAACCAGCACCCCCAAGTCCTTCTCCACAGGGCTGCTCTCAATCCCTTCTTTGTCCAATCTGGAGCTGTGCCTGGGATTGCTCCGACCTAGGTGTAGGACCTTGCAATTGGCATGGTTAAACTTCATAAGAGTGATCGGCATCAGCCCACCTCACAAGCATGTCAAGGTCCCTCTGGATGGCATTCCTTCCCTCCAGCATATCAACTGAACCACACAGCTTGGTGTCATCGGCAAACTTGCTGAGGGCGTACTCATTCCCACTGCCCATGTCAATGACAAAGATGTTGAACAAGACCGGTCCCAACACCGACCCCTGAGGGACACCACTTGTTACTGGTCTCCAGCTGGACATTCAGCCATTGACCACAACCCTTTGTGTGCAGCCATCCAGCCAGTTCTTTATCCACCGAGTGGGCCATTCATCAAATTGATGTCTCTCCAATTTAGAGATAAGGATGTCATGCAAGACAGTGTCAACTGTTTTGCACAAGTCCAGCTAGATGATGTCAACTGCTCTACCCTTGTCCATCAGTTCTGTAGCCACAAAATCGGTCAGGCAGGATTTCCCCTTAGTGAAGCCATGCTGGATGTTACCAAGCACCTTGTTGTTTTTCATGTACCTTAGCATGCCTTCCAGGGGAATCTGCTCGAAGATTTTGCCAGGCACAGAGGTGAGACTGACTGGTCTGTAGTTCCCTGGCTCATCCATTTTCCCCTTCTTGAAAATGGGGGTTATATTTCCCTTTTTCTAGTCGTTAGGAACTTCATCTGACTGCCATAATCTTTCATAAACTGCATAAATATATACAATGACTATCTTTAAAAGAATAAATCAGAACAATTTTAACCATTTTTAAAAGAAAAGATCTTTATACCAATACCATCAACATGTTCAAAAATTCGGTCCAGCTTAACTTATCTCCCTCCTTATGTACCTGAGATACTTACTACATTTTTTGGTTTGAAGACAGTTGTTACTACTAGTTAAAGTATAGGTAACATATGAAAAAAATACTTTATTGAAAAAAAACAACAAACAAAACCAACAGTGAAACAGTATTATCCCAGATAAAATGCCAATGAGCAATAAATTTCTTTACACACAAAGCCCAGTTGGTTAGACTGTGAAGAGTTTATAACACATTTGGCAACTTGCAGGTATTTCAAAACATTACAGCAAACAGCAAAATCTACCTTCAAAGGCAAGTACTAAAAAAATTGAAATTTGACTTTACCAAAGTAACTTATTCTGTACCAAAGTAGCATTGCTATAAAGTTACCATATGTATCTGCTGCATGTAAACAATTATGATGTGAATTTTTCACAAATATTTCAGCATTCCAGTTTGGCATACTAATTAATGACATTCAAAATGCCAGATTGGTAACATGTATTTTATCAACATAGCTTAATAGTCATTAATGTTTTTTCCTATAACTTCTTTTAAAAACACAGTCCTGTTTATAAGGAAAAATAGCAGAAAGGTACCTGTTCCAGTAGCTCCAAAACTGGTCCTGCAAGTAGGCTTGGTGGCTACTTTCATCACCAAATGAGGCTTTGCTTTCAATCCAGTGAATTATGTGTCCTTCAACAGCTAGGGTGACAGCAGAAAATAAACAGAACTCTTAAAACCACACTCAGCAGCATGGAAGAATGTGTTTGGGAATATCTTATTTACCCCCTCAATCTACCACATAATTTATTATTGCAACAGAGTTATGTATTTATAAAAAATATATTTCAAATATGCACAGGACATTTTTAAAAAAATTATCTATTTCAACAGATAATTATAGAAGTTTAATTACACCCCATTTCAGATACTTGCATTTATTCTAGCACAAACCGAATATAAAGGGAAAGAGACTAGACCAATGTGCAATTGTGCTGTACTTTTATCTTTACTTTGCTGGAAAGGAATTGTCAGGTAAGGAATTGAAAACTTCTGGCGAATAACAAGAACAGTTAGCTAAGCTGTTAAAACCAGCAAATTCTCATCAATGAGGAGTGGAAGGTGTGAGAACGGCAAGGATATTTATCATACATACATATCTCCTTCCTTGCCTTTGCAAAACCAGTAATGCTTTACCAGAAAGAAGCTAGGAATAAGAAGGGTTATGTGAAAAAATGTGATTCTGAATTTCTGTTTCAGTCTGTGGGATTTGCTCTGGTTCACATCTTTCCTCACTGCTTGTAGAACTGAATTTCTCATGCTAATAAGTCTTTTTTTTTTTTTTTTTTTTTTATAAAGTCATTTCTGAAGTTGACAACCTAATTTTGCAGGAGAAATCATGAAACTCACTCTAAAAAAAATAAATAAGAATTCTGTCTCAAATGTAATGTTGGGTATGATTACTGACGTCTTTAAAAATGTTTCCTTCATTTTGCATTGCCTATAATATCCACTGTCATCATGTCTTAGCCTAAGTTTGACCTGGGATCAGTATTCAGCTGGCATCTCAGAGCATGCCATCTCAGAAACGCAATACAGAAAGATTAGAAGAAGCTGTGGCAACACAGAGTTTACAGCAGACTGTAAAATTACTTGGGAAATATGGGTAAATACCACATGAAGCCACCACACTAAGCTCCATATGCCACCACTACCATGCTATCAGTAACCAAGTTAACTTGTGTAGGCCTATACTGCTACACCCTTCCCCTGCTCTCAATACTTCCCTAGTACCTTTAGACCCTGGGAGATGTAACAGCTGAGGCATAAACTGTGTAGTCCATTGAGAAGCAATTTCTGAGAAACATTTGCCTTTCCTAGGCACATAGTGAGTCATGAAGAAGAGAATGCAAGAACGGCCATACATTAGTTCAGACTGGACAACAGGTAGAAGATTATTTCTTGTCAATCTCAAGTGACTAAAATAATGTGAGAAAAGTAATGCACTAGCACTGTTTTGATTTTTAGAGACAAATCCACTCAAAACAAATTAATGGCTAGTTTTAACCTTCTAATAGGGTAATACTACAAACCTAAGACTTCTTCTGGGTGTTTCCCAGTTTCCCTTCTCAAGCACTAAAAAAATTAGCTACACCTAGTTGCTTTCCTAGTTCCATTTAATCAGGCTCCTGGATAGGATATAATCTTACATGTTTCCAATATAAAAGTGAGTATCTTGATATCAAGTATGTATTGTGTATATTGTAGTCCACATTACTGGGGAAATTTACTAATGTATATAAATATCTGAAGGGCAAGTGTTAAGAAGAGGAAACAAGGCTCTTTTCAGTGGTGCCCAGTGGCAGGACCAGAGGCAACAGGCACAAACTGAAACATGGGAGGGTCTCTCTGAACATCAGGAGCCACTTTTTCACCGTTAGGGTAACTGAGCACTGGCACAGGCTTCCCAGAGAAGTTGTGGAATCTCAATCCTTGGAGATATTCAAAAGTCGTGTGGACATGCTTAAGCAGATGACTACCAGAGATGGCCTCCAGCCTCAGCCATTTTGTGATACTGTAATTTCACAATCTTCCCTGCTAACTTTAGACTGGATAAACAACAACTGTTCCCTCATGTCCTTGGTAGCTTTCTGAGATCCTCCACAAATAAGAATTATAGAAGTGAAGTAGTAGAAGATAACTGAAAACTCTCCAGGTGTGGCTTGACAACTGTCTGTGAATTGCAGATCATAAGGATGCCAAAACTGACTGTTCAAATATAGAGTGCTTTAGCTACAAAGGTATTTTTTGTTTTGTACATATAACCTCTTCTTAACATCACTACCATTTTTATTTTCTGGAAACATGATTATGAATACAAACATCATTGAACTTTTCAGAAGACTCTCATATACATAGTTGTTCATCTATTAAATAACAGACTATCGTGCTGAAAGACGGTATCTCAAGCACTTCCGCGTAGTGAGACATTTTATAGCACACAAGTCAGTTCCTTATACCAGAGTACAAATCAGTTAGTAAGAATTCCAACTGTTGTCATTATGAAGAACAAAAAGCTAGTGACATATATGACTTTCACAGGCTGCTTTCAGCCTTCTTGTTTTGTCTGTCAGACACCTGCATTGACAGCCGTGTTCTATGGAGGCAAAGTCGTCATCTTTTGGCATGAAAGTCAATTTACAAAAGGTGATTAATAATCCTTTACACTTAAGACAACATTGATGTTTCTTCTACCATGGCCCAGCCACTACATCAGCTGATTTCCTTCTTACATGGCCTCAAGACCAGAAAATGTAGATGAGCTTTGACACAACCTTTATACCTACTTTTATTCCTTCTTGCTACACAGGATTAAAAAAAAAAAAAAAAAAGAAAAAAAAGAGAACTGCACAGTTGTATTTAGATGCAAAGTGATGGCAAGAGAATAATGGCACTACAAGAAATCTTTACGCAATGACCTATAGGTGTAATGGTAATACTCTACACTGCTTTGAATTGATTTGGTCTAGAAGCCTAAAACAGTTATAGAGTTCAGTTCAGAAAGACCGTGAGCAGAGCAGTTTAGAGGGAGGAGGCATCTGGGGGTTCTTACTGTTCCTTGGTTTTCTTTTTGTGATAATGAGACAAAAACATGCAGCAGCCAAAGAGGAAGCACTGAGTAATACTACTTACGAGCAAACCTCTCTGACCCAAACTAGTTCTTAAAATTATTAGGTAACTACTGAAAAAAACCCCACCCCTAATTTGGAGTATCCTTTAATATACAGCTGTATAGCTGTAATGTTGTTGTGGTTTAAACACAGCCAGACAGCTTGTTCACTCACTCTCCCCCTTTTCCTCCCTCTTCCTTCCCTTCCCCTGCTGCTGGAGGTCTGGAAAGGAGAATGAAAGGAATGCAACTCCCACGGGCTGAGATAAGAATAGTTTAGTAACTAAGGAATAACACAAACCACTACTGCTACCACCAGTAATAATAATGATAAAGGAAATAACAAGAGAAGAGAATACAACAGTTCACCACCTGCCGACCAATAACTCGCACCCCCCCCCCAGCCTCACCAAGCGCGGACCGACACGTCCTCCAACCCTGCAGTCCCCTAGCCCTTTTGGGTAACTCCCAGTTACATCCAGGGCATGACGTGCTGTGGTATGGAATACTTCTTTGGTCAGTTTGGGTCAGGTGTCCTGTCTCTGCTTCCTCCCAGCTTCCCCTCCTCCCTGGCAGAGCATGAGACTCACAAAGTCCTTGGTCAGACTAAAACATCGGTGTTACCAGCTCTGCTCCCAGGCCGAAAGTCAAAACACAACGCTGCACCAGCTACTAAGAAGGAGAAAAATGACTGCTACTGCTGAACCCAGGACAAATGTGTAGCTGTAGTATTTTAGCATGCACTTTTCTACTCAAAACAATGACAATTCTTTAAAAGACTTACCTACTGGCACTTCTAAAATGAAGTCTGGTGTTTTGTCATAACCCTTTGCACGAAGCTGATCTTCAGCTATACATACAGAATAAGAACTATTGTTAATAAAACTCTTCTATTAAGTAGACAGCAGCATAATTATTTTTATTTTAAATAAGAGTGCAAGAATTACTAATGCAGTCATACATATCTTTCTTATGCATGCAATGCTGTGTCAGATTAAATGAACCTTTGTAGAAAACCTGAAGCATGGATACAAGAATGCTTCTTTGTCATCCTTGCATTTTTATGCCTTCATTATAAACATCATTAATTCAAGCTGTCATATAGTATTTTATAAACCCCAAATATTCAAAATAAAGAAATATATTTGCTGATTGAAAGAAGAGTTTCCCCACATTAGGAAGCATTAAGACTAATCCTATCAACACCACAAATGTAGATAGACTGTAGCTGCCTTCTTGGTTTTATTTCAGTGTTAGCATAAAGTTGTTAAAAAAAGAACAGGAAAATCCTTTTCTTCCAGAAATTTATGAAGGAGAGAATCCACGATTTTAGTTTCTCTTGCACCCTGCAATCTACAGAATTTATTCAATTTCGGAACATACAAAGACCTAGAAATTCTGCTAACATAAACTATACAACTCTATTGCTTACAAATATTAGAGCTGAATATTCCAAGAAACAATAATGACTGAGCAAGATGAAACTGCAGAAGACAAAAGATGCTTCCTTAAAAAAGAGAAAAAAGGAAGCCCAAGCAAGCCCTTAATATTGCCCTTAATATTTTCTAAACTATTGTCCTTGATTTCTGATACCATTACACTGGTATTTCTGAAACATCATTTCTCCATTAGAATTTGGAGTGACCTGGTCATTCAATTCCAGGCATGGCTTTCTGTCTTCACCCAAGCTCAACTAATGGCACTACCTAGTAACAAGTAAGGCTGTGTAGCCCCTTAACACCTACTGGGCTGTTGACATTGTCATGCATCCCATTCCCCTTTCTACATCACCTTTGATTAAAATTAATGGTCCATTCTCACTGTTGGGTAGCTTATTTCCAATCCATTTATCAGGTTAGGACAGTAGTTTCATGGCCAATGTTCAGAACTCAGTTTTTGAATACTTTGTGAATATCCTGAAAGGTCAGCAGTTTGAGTCCAAGTAACATTTTAATGACAAGAAAAACATACACTCTTAGAAATCCAAATATTCTAAAACTGCCTCAAGCAAGCTCCCCCTCCCCTCTTTCCCTTTGAAGAATGTAAGTCTGAAGTGGTTTTTAAACATAGTAAAGTCATAACTGAAAGTGGGACAGGAGTGATTTTGCAAAGTTGTACATTCAGTTAGGGGTAAACTGCAATAGCTGATTATTAGTTTTGATAGGTGCAGTATTTCTTTGGAAATTTGAGAGTATTTCTTCACTGTAACCACACCACATTGTAAATACAAGTCACTGCAATGCAACAGTTCACTGTATCACCTGATCAGCTATTAAACTTTTTTAGGATTTGGAGACAGAATTGGTTGTTGGCTGTTTTTCCAAATTTGTCAAGATTGTCAGGAATGTGGATAAAGAGTGTTAAGATTAACGAAGTTCTAATTTAACAGAACGTATGCAGCCCAGAGGGCCAACTGTATCCTGGGCTGCATCAAAAGCAGCGTGACCAGCAGGTCGAAGGAGGTGATCCTGCCCCTTTACTCTGCTCTCGTGAGACCTCACTTGGAGTATTGTGTGCAGTTCTGGTATCCTCAATATAAAAAGGACATGGAACTGTTGGAACAAGTCCAGAGAAGGGCCATGAGAATGATCAGGGGACTGGAGCACCTCCCATATGAAGATAGGCTGAGAAAGTTGGGACTGTTCAGCCTGGAGAAGGCTGCGTGGAGACCTGATAGCAGCCTTCCAGTATCTGAAGGGAGCCCATAGGGATGCTGGGGAGGGACTCTTCATTAGGGACTGTAGTGATAGACAAGGAGTAATGGGTTAAAGCTTAAACAGGGGAAGTTTAGATTGGATATAAGGAGGAAATTCTTTCCTGTAAGGGTGGTGAGGCACTGGAATAGGTTGCCCAGGGAGGTTGTGAATGCTCCATCCCTGGCAGTGTTCAAGGCCAGGTTGGACAAAGCCTTGGGTGATATGGTTTAGAGCGAGGTGTCCCTGCCCATGGCAGGAGGGTTGGAACTTAAACTTGAGAAGAAACTTCTTCTCAGTGAGGGTGACAGAACACTGGAACAGGCTGCCCAGGGAGGTTGTGGAGTCTCCTTCTCTGGAGACATTCAAAACCCGCCTGGATATGTTCCTGTGTAAACTTATCTAGGTGTTCCTGCTCCGGCAGGGGGATTGGACTAGATGATCTTTTGAGGTCCCTTCCAATCTCTAGCATACTGTGATACTATAATCTTAAGGTCCTTTCCAACCCTAACTATTCTATGATTCTATGATTTTATGAGTAGAGAATTTTGTGCCATAACATAAAAATGAATTAACTGTATGTGATCTCTTAATCTTGATTAAAAAAAAAAATCCACTTTTATCCAACTCTGTTTTACTGTATTCTGCTCTTAATTGTTTGAAACAGTACAAAAAAGACAACAGGATGTTCCAGATGAAGTTTTCATTGTTTAAGAAGATAGAAATAGCAATAGAAAGTTCAGTATTTTTCTTTCATATCTAACAAATGCTAGTATCAGAAATTCAGAGAAATGTACCTTAAAAGAACCCACTGACAGCCAGGAAGGGGTAAACATTTCCTGATAAGTTAACTTGGCAAGTCTCAGATCTGGAGTCTGTATCACATTAATTTCAATATTCTTCTGCAGATTCTTTTTTCAAGGCTACTTGATTACTTTTAAAATCATAGAATTATAGAATCATAGAAATCATTTTGTCAAAATCAGATTGTGTGATACTAACACATGGCTTGAAAAAGAATGTGTTTTTTGCTTTAAGTCTGTTTCTGAATGTTTTCACTTGGTTTCTCCTGACATTCTGTACTGTGAATAGCATGATAAAATAAGTTTTAAAACCATGTTTACTATTGATGTGAGCTGTCTATCGTTTAGCAACATAATTATAGATTACCATTTCTTTAAGTGTTTTGAAGCTTTGTACAAACCCGTAAAGATCCTACACAGAACCTAGAAATTCCTCGCATTTCAGTATGGCAAGTGAAACGGTTCACCTGTTTTGAGAGAACACTTTAATCCTAAGCAAAGTGATAAATAGGGGGCCTATAGGGATGCTGGGGAGGGACTCTTCATTAGGGACTATAGTGATAGGACAAGGGGTAACGGGTTAAAATTTAAACAGGGGAAGTTTAGATTGGATATAAGGAGGGAATTCTTTCCTGTAAGGGTGGTGAGGCACTGGAATAGGTTGCCCAGGGAGATTGTGAATGCTCCATCCCTGGCAGTGCTCAAGACCAGGTTGGATGAAGCCTTGGGTGATACGGTTTAGTGTGAGGTGTCCCTGCCCATGGCAGGGGGGTTGGAACTTGATGATCTTAAGGTCCTTTCCAACCCTAACTATTCTATGATTCTATGAATATTTGAGAGCTGTGTTTTTCTTGAAGAGAGGACATGGTAAACGATGTGGCTGTCATGAACAGTAGATTAACAAAAAGCAAACCCTTCGTTTATATAGGCTTCAAATCAATTTCTGGGTGAATCTGAAAGTGTTACATCTGATCTGTAGGCTCTGAAATCTAACTGATCTAGAAACAGACAAGTTATGTCCTGGGACTGAACAGCTGTTTCATGCTCCAAGATGATACTGGGGCGATTTATATTCACCAGGTCCTTGGACTCTCTGTTGCTCAGGTGAAGAGACCTGATACAAAAACCTTACTATTCTTGAGGAATAGTAAACGAATATGGAAACTGCAGAATTCGTTTTTTGTAACACACGTTAAAAAGTAATGGATTGCAATTACAGCAAACTAAGTCCTGGGCCATCTTCAAAACTGGAATGTAGTCTTTCTCAGAGCCTAACAAAGCCTGAATTTGTTGACCTATAGGAAATACTGTCATCTCTTCTGTTTTGCTGAAGTTATCTTCAAGCAGTTTTGGAAGTAATTTTTAAAAAAGGAAAGATTTGATTGTGAGGGATTCAGTAGGGTTAATCTAGCACATACTAAGGATTTATTTATTTATTTATTTATTTATTAAGACCTAAAACCTTAAAAGACACACGCAAAGGACAGAAATAATAAATACACCCATCTAACAGATCTTAAATTATGACTAAACAGTATTTCACTATGCATAATATCTAAACAATAAATTAAGCTTTGTCATTTATTTTTATATTCTAATGAGTTAATCCATTCTAGGTACTTTGACAACATAAATTTCTTAAAGCTTATTTTTAAAGACAAAACTGATGCTTATCCAAGGTCACAAAACATCAAAATTTAAATCTAATTTGTGTAGTACACAAGCTTGCACAAGCTGAATAAAATGATAATCATTGGGTTGTTCATTTGTGAGTCATCTAGTCCATTCTCTTGTATCGTGACAGGATTGATTTCATTACCAGCTTTGATGGATGAATGTCAAGTCTAGCCTTGAATTTTCCATTGAAGGTGATTCCATAACCTTCCCTGGCAGTTTGTTTTATACTTACAGCTCCTAGAACTGTTTAGTATTTTAACTCATCATCATCTCTGTAATTACAGCTTAAGCCTATTACCTGTACCTCTGCTCTTATAGCCAAGAAGGAAAAACTACTCACATTTTCACAGTGTCATCTGCAGGTTTGTATGCAATACTTATTTCTGTCTTTTTTTCATTTTTTCTCTAAAATAAAAGATCACACTAACTCTGTTCCTTAATTATATGGGCAAATATTTTAAAAACCTTAATAATCATTCTAATTTTTAAAATCTGTTTAAAGTTTCCAAAATATTAACCTGAATCTAGATTTAGGAAATACCATAGTTCCTGATAAAACCAGCAAAATTCCCTGATCACACAAATTTAGTGCAACATCAACAAAAGACAGCATTTCACTTTGCTATTGTCTCATCATATAAGAAGTCCAAGATTTAAGAAGTCACTGTTAAGTTTATTTTCACAATAAGAGAAATGATGCTTTAAATATTAATCTTTGTTTTAATGGCACTCATGTACAAGAAACTTAGTGCAGCCTAAAAGAAAAAAAATGAAAATAACTTTGTAATTAATCCTTAAAATGATTTTAAATATAGGGATTGTGAAATGAGTACTTGCATTGGTTAGTAGGCAGGGGGCAAAAATTCAGCAGAAATTGCACAGAAAGCTATATGAGTGAATCCTCTCACAGTTCTTTAATACATAAAGCATTTTGAAGTTAATATTTCTTATGCTTCCTCTTAAGTCTCATAAGGCCTAGATTATGGCTAATATCTCATGACACCAAAAGTAATACCGCAGCAGATATTAAAGCATTTTTTTCAGCTACTTATTCTATAAAATATTAATTGCAAGCCTGTGCATGTGCTGTACATAGAGGGTATTAGGTAACTGAGTTCCTGCTCAGTTCTAAATCAATAAAAGATAACATGTACAGCATCAATCATTTCTTACTCTTCCTTTACTACCCAATACAAAGAGTGTTGAGGCTTATTTTTTTCTTAGGTAAACAGTCACTGAAATCTTTGAAGTTAAGGATTTGCTGGCTAGCCCCTACTACAAATTCTTACCTATGAAAGAGAGATTTTTTTCCAAAAGCATTTCTCGCAGCAAGACTTCATGCTCATGCCCAATAGCGCTGATAGCTTTAGATTAAGAAATGGAAGAACCAACTTCAGAAAAAACATCACAGGTAAAGTAATTAATGATAAAATACATTTGCCTTCATCTGCATTTCAGAAGGGAACAATGATTTGAACTCTAAGTTTTTAAATACCTCACAGGGACTTTCAGAGGCATTTAGCACTTTGTGAAAATTAGACTACTGTCTCATCAGCATACATTTTACAAAAATAAGACCAATTAGATCACATTTAGTCAGTATAAATAAGGCTAATATTTAAATTTTTGCTTTATTTCACTCCCAAATTTAAAAGACAGTGAGCTTAAAACATGTAATGAAATACCTTTTAATTTGCTCTTTACTGACAAGTGTATCAATTCTCTAATTCAGCAAAGAATGAAATAAACTGTTTTTTTCTTTATATTCAGAAATTGATAGGCACCACAGCCATTTGAAACATCTTACTGTAACAAAATATCCTTTTAATTGATTTTTCAGAAGCATGAACTTAGGGAAGGATGAAATATTTTATAGTGAAGTCCTTTTCACTTCACTGACAGCCTGTTGATCCAATGTGCTATTCTTAGCAACATGTAGATAAGTCACCATGTTAAGTATTTTTAATGTATATTCCTGGAGGTCAAAGTTCTGTTCTGGAAGCTTTTAAGAAGAATCTTATGGAACATCATGATAAAGGACCTTACATTAAAACAGTTAAGTTCCTAACTCTGTTTAGAATAACTTCTGAAAATTTAAACTACATTACAATTAGAGTTAATTACCTAATTTATATCAACTTTTTATGCTAAACAGCAAAAATACCGATTGTATGGAATCATTGCATTTACATATATAGTTTTTATTAACTGAAACTCTATATTATGTTAAACTCTACTAGCATTAACAGAACAAAAGGGGTAAATGAAGAACAGCAGAAATGTAAGAAAAATACTGCAAATGGAATTTATAATGCATTGTAAGCAGAAACACTTAGACTTAGTCTATAATAATACCTGTTATTGATGTATGGCAATGACCATGGGGCAAAACTTGTAAATAACCTCACAAGCCATTTTCTACTCATGCAATCTAGCAGCCTAGTTTCCCGTAAGCATCTGAACTATTACTGAAAAATAGCCTCTTGGCATTTACAAAGAGGTTGACTTCATACTTTAGTCCATGCATATACAATTAGATAGTTATATTTAAAATCAATATGCAATCCTTCAGAAGACATTATGCTTTTAAAACCTTAACTTTAAATTGATTTTAAACTATTTTATGCACCTCAAAATTAACATCTAATTCAGCAACATACTTGCAGATAATGCACTTGCACAGTTTAGTATTAAACTTTTCTGTACCAAAAACGGAACTAAAAAACTCCTCATTATGCCCACTGATGTCACTGCAGAGTCAATAACTTCACTTGAACCAGAATCTGAAGAGGATAGAAAAGACCTTTATAGACTTCAGGCAAGTTGTTCTTAAAAAATGGTCATAATTATACATATTCTGTTATTATTACTTTTAAACATGACACTTTCAGAAGACTATAGCCAGAATGTTTGTCATAAAAATATTAATCTTACATTTCTAGATGTGAAAATTAATGATCAACAATCTTTTAAAAACTGTGATTTATTAGATTAATCCACTGTCACAGAGCTGTATTTAATGTTGAAGAATTTCTCAATGAATATATAAAATTATGATTAAAACCAGAAAATACAAATATAATTAGAACTTCATCCTGCACCTGTTAAACTTAATGGGAGCAGGGCTGAGTCTGTAGTAGACACCAGGCAAGTATTTCTAATGGAAAGAACATATTTTTATCGGGTGACTACCGAATGTATCACACCTAAAAAAAGTGTTGTTTTTCATGCATAACTGAACATCACTGTAGCTGTTCTATCCTGCAACTGTACAGTGAAATCAGGATCTTCCCCCAGACTGCATTCAGAGATTTATGCAAGGAACCCCTAGGACTTGGGAGACAATTGCCTTGCTAGCTGGCTCAGTGATAGGAGGTCATGATTTTGAAACTGTTCCTTTCACAGCAGACTGAAACAGAAGAGCTACTCATTCAGGACTTTACTGAAGTCTTGTATCCTTGTTAAAACCTGGTCTAGTGGAACATGTCCCTGCCCATGGCAGAGGAGCTGGAACTAGATGACTTTAAGGTCCCTTCCAACCCAAAGCATTCTATGATTCTATGAAAACAGAGTTAGGGTTGCAGTGATCTTTCCTAACAGTTTATACTCTTAGTCTGGAAAACCCAGTACCAAGAGGTCTCCTCAGGATTCTCACTGGATATTGAGGATCTCTAATTAACCATTTCAACACTAACCCCCTCCCCAAAAACCAAACCCAACACCCTTAAAGTCCAAGCTACATAGGGTTTTTTCCTACAGCTAGACTCATTTCCTTTACGAAGAAGAGAAAGTAAAAGAACTGCGTGGAATGTCAGAGTTTAAAAATACTAATTGGTCAATCCTACCTGAATTGCACTTGAAAATCTTCCAATTAAAACTCAACAGAAGAGTTGAGATTGGAAGGTATCTCCAGAGATCATCTAGCCCAACTACACCGCTCCAAGCACTGTTGTCCAGTCTTAGTAGAAAACAAGTCATGAATTTCAACTAATCAAAACCAAAGAGGTTCAATCAGGCATACGAATGTGTAGCCAGCAAACTAACAACTTCCTGTGGTCCATCTGATTTTTGTTAAACAGTATAAGAGGAAGCTTTGCAGTGACCCTCTAGCTGATTGAATGTAAAACAGAGGAGTATGAAACGTGTTTTGTGAAGCAGAACTTTATGTCAGGTTAAAGCTAGACACATCTCTTCCACACAGGCTAAACTCGTCAATTGTGCACCTAAAATTTTATGGGAAAGGATACTGTTTGATGCAGTCCACCAGTGGTCCATAACAACAGTCATTCACAGTACACTGCAGACAAATAAGAGAAGTAGTATAGTGATGGGCAATGCAAAACCATTATAGTTAAAAAGAACCTTAAAAACAGTAATTACTTTTCTTCAAAAAGGCTATCAGATGCTGTTCAGATTTAATCACAGAAAACAAAACCTGCATGCTTTTATTCACTATAAAAGCAAGCTATTAAAAAGTGAAATGCTCCCCTCACAAATACTGCATTGCCATTTATGGTGCACCCTGACCTCACTGATAGTTTACGATGACAGTAATTAAATGAGGTTTAAAATCTTTTACTCTGCTAGACAGATAACAGCACCGCCACAGGAAAAAAAAAAAAAAAAAAAAGAAAGAAAAGAAAAAGACAACTGTGATTAATACCTGATAGACTTGATTTGCCAGAACTCCATCTGGTATCTGAGAAGGGTCCCGTAGCATACTATTAATAAGTGTTTTGGAGGCTAAAGAAATAAGGAATAAAAACATACAAAAAACCTGTTAGCTCAGTTATCCGCTTGGCAGGAAGAGAGACACACTTTTACAAAAGAAAACATTAATGATGTAGATAATTTTGAAAAATATCAAACCAGCAACTACAAACTTTGTAGCTACTTAAACCCATTCTGATACGATTAAAAGGCTTGAAACACCAAAGGATTGTATTAGCACAGGGTCAAAGCAGGCCTTTTTCTACTTAATCAGTTTTACAGGACAATTTGTGCTTCAAAAGCATCTTGCAGCTCCTAAGGAAAGTGCTTAGTATAAAGAAAATGTAACTCAAAATAACAACCATAGCCTATGAGAACTTAAGGAAGAAGGTATGTAAAAATTCAAAACAGCCTCTAAAAACAATGTTTGGTCTGAACAATCTTAAGCACTTTATCACTTGATGATTCCAGTTTAGCAGTTTTCAAATTTATTTATTTACTTATTCAGTGTTGACACATTTATCTCACTGTACTTAAAAGCTGGTAATAGGCTTTCTATGCTATTTTCAAATGTATAAGACACAAAAGAAATCAGAAGTGAATTTAGGAGTATTTATCAGTCTTTCATTCAATGAGATTGATACAACAGCAACAAAAAAAACCAATCATAAATCAAGAGATGCCTTTAGCTTATTTTCGAATAGGTCTTGCAAGCACAGGCATTATCTCTCCAGATGCTTAATCTGGGTAGCTGCATACACTAGTTAATTACTAATAAAGGTGGAAAAACTGTTCTAGAAAAATGCCCTCTAAAAAAATTCACACATTTAATTTTATGATTTCTCAGAGAAAAAAACAACACTGCTGCACAAGCATAAGCTGCCTCCTTCCTGGGAACAACTGCTGACAGAGTTCAGCTGGTGGGTATATTTATATCATTGAATCCATAAATGTAGACTAGGCTTGAGACTAGCAAAGTTCCTGCTTTGCCAAAGATTTCCTGTGTTACTTCAGGTAAATTCCTTTAACCTGGGTGTGCTTCACTTGTGTAAACAAAGTGAAAAACTGCTCTCTTCCTGTTCTTAATTTTTCTTTTGTCCCAATGTGGGGCCAAAGCTTTGTCACTCTCTTCAATTATTGAACTGAAAGCCTCAGATATTATTCTATGATTCTATATCACTGTGAAACGGGGTCCTGGGACCTGTGACATGAAGGGATCTGCCATTTAGGCCACAATTTTGCCATATAAGCAACGATGAATGTGTGTAAACACTGCTGAAAGTAAAGGAGACTCTCATTTTAATATTCTCCTGAATGTTGTCTCCTAAAAGCATCACAGTCAGTTGAAAGTAGTATTCTCAAGAAAATATTTTGTTTAGAAAACTATACTGTAACGCAAACGAATATACAAACCAAAATTAGTTTAAAGGCTATGCAAGAGCTACAAAGATTGGCATCATCACAAGCAGAAGCAAAAGTTTCTGCAAATATTTTAAGAAGAATGATATACTAAACCAGTATATAAAACACTTCTAATATACAACATAAAGTGTATATAAAACACTTCCAGACTCATCATGGCATATTACATATTTGAATCTTATGCATCTTATGTGAAATAAGCATTTCTTTTGTAAGTGAATAGTTAAGAATAGACATTTTACTTTAGCTTTTGTACACTGTTAAAATTGCATTTTGTACACAGGATAAAAAAATTGAAAATATGAATCAGAAGGCAGTGTATTAACACTAAAAATGAAAATAATTTTTTTTAGTAGGTAGCAATAATACAGAAGTAACAGTTTGTCAATAGTGAGGTTGATTGAATGGTAGACTAATGAAGAGCGTTAACTGAGGAAGACTGAGAATTCCCTGCTTTCAAGGGCTACTGATTTAAGTATCATGACTTGATTATGAAAAAAGTAAGCTATTTTATGACTGATGAATAAACCAGCAAAACCCCACAGATTCATGTTAGGGAAATGTTTAACTGGCCACTACCTTGAGTAACGAGCTACAGGTGCAAAATAAATGTCCTGTATTTCTGAGACTGCCAACTTCAGTTTCTCAGTGGAGTTTACCAGACTTTCTATTACTCTATCAGAGTAATAATGAATTGACATAGTGAATTTTACATAATGTTGATGTCACACTGGTTCTACAAGTTTTTAATTAAGCCCTTAGAAGAAGAGGCATCAGACAAACCTGACTGCTACACTAGCTTTTAATATATTATCTTTCTTGCTTATATAAACATTATCTACTTATGTCCTGCAAAATTTAAAAAAACCCCAAACAACTGCATATTACTAATTTTGTATTACCTATGCAACTAAGAAAAATTAATTCTGTTTTCAGAAAGCCAGTTACTGCAGTGGCAGCACACCAAGAGGCTGATGTGTAAAAGCCAAAATGGTGCAGAAGTGCTAAGGTTTTTATGTAAACAATACCAGTCAGAAAATAAAGTTTATTGAAACACTGTTCTTTGCATAGATCTCCTCCTTTTAAACAAAAGCACGTCATCTGCTCTTCT